CATGGAATCTTTAAGGAGAAATTTAAATAAAATAATATTTGATCAAAATTGTAATGTTTAATAAAAATAAATAATATCATTTACTTTGTTATTATCATTAGTTTGACAAAAAGAAAAAGATTCAACTATATAATATAATATTATTCTTTATATTGAATATTGAATATAAAATAATTAGTTAAATTTATTATCGAAAACGAAAATCTATTATATATTCTCTCCATATTCAATATTGTTATTATAACTAAACAAGACTCCTATTGACAATTCTTTATATTCATATATGATAATTAATTTATTTTACTCATATATATATATATATATATTGAAGAATTGATTCGATCTTGAAAATAATATTTTTAATTAGAAATAAAATCATATTTAGATGATAAATTCTTGAATTCAATATAAATTTGTTCATGTTAACATGATGAATATTTACGGTATTGATTAAACGTGTTTTATTTCTCTAGTGAGTATATTTATTCTAATATAGATTAGAATTTAAATTAATAATCTTAAATTGTCCTATATCAATATATTCTCTCTGTTCATAGAATTGTTTATTATCTATATGATTGAATATTGATTTTCAATATTTATTCTCGATAGATATTATACTGATTAAACAAAATGACTATTATTTAAGCAAGAATAAACTTATTCTTCATGATATATATATATATACATATGAGTGAAGAGCACGTTGATTATACCGTTAGCGGACAAAACATCGAAAAAAGTAAATATCCTAAGTTGTATTTGATAGAGTGATGTTGAATATGTATAAAAATAATGTTTTCCGAATATATTCCTGTAAAAGAGAAGATAGATGCTATTTATATATTATTAGATTGTCGTAGGGTATAATTACTTTCATTCAACTAGCTCAATTGTTTCTTGGTTAAATAATATGCTCTTTTATATGGAAAAGCTTATTGCTTGATTTTTTTCGTATATAACTATACTCTATGAACTGAAAAAGAGTGGAATTGTTTATGGCGAATGGCTAATTTTCCATTAAGTTATAGAAATAATAATATGTTAAAAATGATTCTATATTCAGTCTAAATATAGATGTTTTTTTCAATAAAGTGTAAATTATGAAACTAACCTATTTTATTTCTCAAGTTAATTTCCTTCTAGTTCTATTTAATATCTAATCAAATTTGTTCAAATGAACTTTCGTTAAACGAAATGGCAATGATTTTAATGTCGCTCGACATTTTATTAGTAAAAAGGAAATTTTTATGGCAAACGGTTCAGTTTTCATTGAGTTATAGCAATAACAATATTTCCAAAAGTCATCCTAAATTTTGTCTGAAACTCATTTCTTTTTGACTTTTGTGAGAAATTTTTGTATTAAGAAAGTTTATGTAACAAATTTTTTTATTTCTTAAATTATTTTCTCTCTAATTCTCTTTCATATTCAATTAAATTAGCTCAAATGAAATTTCGTTGAACGAAATGGCAATGATTTTCTTTTCAGAATCGAACAGTATACAATATCTGTGCTCTTCACTTGTATACATATTAAATAGACGTTTGTTTTAATCTATGATTAAAATGAATGAATGTTTCGATGACAATTTAATATTCTCAATATGGATAAATAATGATAGATTATGTTAGACATATGTTTAAGACAAATAAAATAAAGTTAATTAGATATTAAAATCGACAAGTAACGATGAAAAAGAAAATAAATATTTAAATTCTTCCTATTAATTATAATCAATTATAAATCTGTCAATGGTTTTTCTTTAGATAAAACGATTTTTCATGATGATTTGTTTGAATAGATACCTATTTATATATATGTAGAACTCAATTAATAAATAAACAAAATCCTTTTAATAAAATAAAGAGAATTAAATAAAAGTTTGTTTTTATGACTTGTCTATTAAATGATTAATTCGAATAAATATAAATTGGTTTTTTCTTTCCATCGATTTTAAGAAATATTTCTTATATTTTCGACGATATTTTTCTATTTTTAAAACTGATCAAAATCTATCTTTTTTTCAAAATCTATATAGGTAGAAGTCAATGTTTCTTACTCAATATCGAATATATATTTCTAAATAAGATGAAATGGTTATTCAAATCTAACCTTTTATCTGCTAACTCGATCAATCTGTTATAAAAAAAACAGAAAAAGAAAAAGAAAAAGAAAAAGATTTTTTGTTTTTTAGAAAAATAGCCAGTCTAGTGATTATTTCTGAGTAAATGATTTATTTAAATAATTCTAAATTGAAAATATTGATGTTGTTTAGTGTACCTTTTGTAAAAACATGTCGAGAAAATGTTGTTAATGAAGATGCATCATATATTGATCATAGACGTAACACAATAGTATCATTTCAAAATGTTCCTTATATTGGTTTAAATAATATTTCTATAAATAAAAGTGAACATCCTTGGAAATCTTTAACACATTTATCATCACCATCATACCGTCATTCCTTATTAACAATTCAAAATCGTTCATTGTATCAAGGTAGTATTAGTCGGATATCTTTACCAAATAAATTCATTGATGATTATTATTCCAATGATAAAACAGTTCAATCAAGACCAATAACAACAACAACAATTAATGATAAAGATTCAATTATAATAAATAATCAATGTGAACAACTAAGTGAATCAATAATTGATTCACTTTTAGAACAAATTAATTTAAATCTTTTGAAAAATGCTTCATTTACTCTTTTTACAATATCAAATTTTTTATCAAGTCTTGGATTTTTTGTTCCATATAATTTTGCACATGATCTTGCTAAAGATTCACATGTTGAAGAAAATCATCGAAAGTTTGTCATTATGGCAATCGGTTTTTCTACTTGTTTCGGTCATGTTATTATTGGATATATAGCAGATCTTAAATCGGTATGATTTAGAAAAATAATTTACACTATTTTTTTTATTAAAAAAAAAAAATAAATATTGTCAGGTTAATCGTCTTATATTATACAATTCAACATTAATCATAGCTGGTCTATCTACAATAATTGCTCCATATAGTGGCTCTCATATTCTTCCTCATTTGATTTATGCATCATTTTTCGGTTTCTTCTCAGGTGGATATGTTGGTTTAACATCAATAATAACTGTTGATCTTGTTGGAATAGATAAATTATCAAATGGAATGGGTATTATTCTACTATTTCAAGGTATTGCTACTGCTATTGGTACTCCAGCTGCTGGTAAGACATTGACATTTATTAAATTAATTCAATAAATATATATATATATATACAGGATGACACAAAAGTAGCATGACAAATAATTTTTTCGATTTCTTTTTTGAACATCCTAAGTTAGATCTCATATTTATCCTAGATATACTAGATGACATAATTCAAGGATGTATCATATGATCAGTATCTAGCTGTTGGAACTGATCCAACCAGTGTATACATAATACGAAGCTTGTCCATGGAATTATCTTGACGAGTTTGTCAATCAGTAGCTGAGTGATTGCAACTTTGTAAAGATTTATAGGATGATCAAATTGAGCAATTTTTGTGAAAAGGTTCGCTATTAAAAACATTTGACAAATACATATTATTGTGTGTGTCATTTTCTTCTTCTATTCTTTTAATAAACGTTTTGTTACAACTCAGAGTTTGTTATACGCTTTTAAATAAATTACTACACTTCACAACTGATTCTATACTGCATCTTTGAATAATGTCACCTTGTATATGTAGGATAAATATGAGATCTAACTTACTATGTTGAAAAAAGAAAAAAATCGAAAAAATTATTTGTTATGTTAGTTTTGTGCCACCCTGTATATTCTTCATTGACTAGGTGCTATGCGTGATGCATTTGAAAAACATCGTCGACCATTTCTTTGGCCTTATTTTATGTTTGGTGGATTTGTTGTATTAAGTGGAGTTATTCTATTTGCTATTCCAATATTAACACAAAGAGAAAAAAATCATCGAAAATTATCGAAATATTCATCAAACACTAATTCTACTTCTCATTTAGATAAACATTCATTTTTTCATAGACAACAACAACAACAACAACAAATTTAATTGTTTTTAAATTTTAAATAAAATATTGAACAATATTCATCTCTTATATATTAACATTATTGTTAACTTATATTATATTAACGTTATATATAAATTTATAAATTATTTTTCAGTATATATTGACAATTTTCAAATTGAAATAAAAACAATATGACCTATATATATTTCTATGTTAGATTAAAATTGTTGATTTGAACAAAAAATATCAACAGTTAATTGGAAAAAAAAATCAATTAACAATAAATTAATAATATAAATTATCTGAAAAATTTGATTAGAAATGCTAATTAACTAAATATATAAACAAGTTATTTTAAAAAAATTGATGTACCATTATATGTATTTGAGAATAATTGATAAAAAGTATTAGATTTTAAATAAATATATATATATATATATTCTCATTCAACAACAAAAATACATCTATTAAATAATGATTATAAAAAATTTCAATTTAAACTTATAAATAATTAAAATAGATATGAATATTTAACATATTATTTAATATGATATAACATAGATTAACTATCTTTCATTTATAATTGATAAATACTTTAAAATCTAATAAATTTTGATAATTATTTCATAGTTTACAGTGAAAGATTTTTTTATTGAATCATTTTAGATTATTTATTTATTTATTTATTTATTTATTTATTTATTTAATAAATAAAACTAAATATGTTCGATATGAAATGGTTGATAGAAGATTCTATTTCGATTAGTTATCGTTTACAATCGGGAATTTATTGATGAACTTGGATAAATTCAATTAAAATAAATAATTATTAAATAATAAAAGATAATAAATATTCGAATACTTAATATAAATAGACATTTTTGTTTGTAGAAATGTATTAGCTAATAAGACATTTAAATCATATGTTATTACATTCTCCAATTTTGATAAACATTTATTTTCTTCATTAAATTTATTTAAAATAAATATTAAACAAATTCTAATAGAAAATAAGTATTTTTTGTTTTTCAAAAACCTTTTAATGTGTTCATTGAAACTTTTTATAAGTCGATAAAATGTTAAACAATATTTTGTATCAGTTATAGGAGTTGTTTCAAGTAGAAACAATTGTTTTTTCATCTAGAAATTCTCAAATTAAAATAAATAAAAACTAAAAAGGCAATGACTAACATATTGATGTTTATATTTACATTGATCAATTATATTGTTTCCTTGTAAATCAAGATATTTTTCAAATAATCGATAAAGAACAAGTTCTTCAACGGTAAGATGTCGAATTAATTCTTGTTGAAACATATTTGACCAATGTTGTTCATCATCAATATTACCTTGACACATTAAATAATTCTTTTGCTAATTTATTTATTTTATTTTTAATCAATTCGAAATAACAATATAAATATCTTATAGAGTTCATTTATTTGAATATGATCACGTTTTATTATATCTTATATTGACAATTTATTATTCATCTAAACAATATTTATTCTTATTACATTTAAATTTTATTTATGTAAGAAAAGTCTATCTTCATTATATTATGTAAAACATTGATCAATGTATCAATAATTATTCGTTTTTTTTGTGCTACGTTGATTTTACGCATTTTCTCTTATTTAAATAAATCAAGCATACAAATCATTGACATTTGCTCTCTTTTTATCTCTATGCTAATCGTATAGATCATTAAGGACAAATTTATCTCATAAAAACATATGTTTCATTTACTGACTCAATTGAGTTGAACAGGTACATTTTAAAATGATAAGCTATTCTCTTTTCTATATTTACTTTATCATAATTAGTCATAGAAAATGAGAGGCATCAAATACACACTTTTCTATCCACAACAATGTTAACACTACTTTATCATAATAATGTTCGCAACTATTATTCTTCTTTTTATATTTCGTTTGAATTGAAATAAAAAAAAAGAGTAGACTTGCATTATATAGAACAAAAAAAAGTTCTATAATTATTTCTTACGAGAACTTTCATTCTTTTTTTCAAATAAAAGAAATCAATCAATTATAATAACATCATATTTCAAACTTTAAAGTTTGGTAATCATAATTTAACAAACTTATAAATGCAAAAGCACTTTTTTATTCGAATAGTAGTATTATTTATAGACAAAATAGTTCTAAATCAACAAAGGTTAATTCCAATTTCAATCAAAGCTGCTATCAGATTACTTGTTTTTCGGTTTGTTCTCGACAGATCAGTAAGAAAAGCAGACCAGAACAAAACAGAATTATTTGCTCCGAAGATTTTTGAGGGAACAGAATAGACTTACTGACAGTTATTACTAAACTTGAAGATACAATTATACAATATACGATAGAAATTTTTCTTATTTTTCTCACGCTAGTCTCAATCACATTGTTTAATTCTTCTCAATTACGATGAACAGATTTCAAAATTCTACACACTAAATAGAAACTTAAAAGAGATACAACTGGGTGTGAGTGTGTGGGTATGGGTGTCAAAGTTGGGAACTAGAGTAGGACATTTACAACCAGATCTACACCTATCCACACAAACCACAAAAAATTCAAACGTTTCAACTCTGTGAAACAAAAGATACAGACGACATTAAACAAAAGTTTAGTGTCAATCATTTCAAGTCCAATATTTTTACATTCATACCCGAGATCAATTAACGATTTACAGATCATCCAACAATTTACGAAACTACATAAAAAAAAAACATTACCATACAATACATGGATTATTCAGAACGACTTATCTTCACATTTTAAAAAGTTTAATCCTTTCCGATCGGCGTCTAGAAACCAGATAGCAAAAATATTGTTTACTACATAGTTTTTGTTGCTCTACCATAGGAATAGTAAAAATGTATTTTTTGGAACAAAAAATGTGATTCTGTGTCCAACGGTTTCATGTTGCCATTTCCCTAGTGAAACATCTTGTAAGCAAGATCTTCGCCAAGATCCAAGGTACAGAAATGTTAGTAGATCTTGAAAAATTACGTACAAGTTAATTGTATTATCTTATAACAAGATCTGTAGTTAGATCTTGGGAACAGATAGTTTAGATCTTACAATGTTAAGATATTAGCGACCCTTGGTTTGTCTACAGGGAGATAATCGATTTTTATGATACTAGCAATCTGAGTATATATAGAAACATTATGATTATTTGCATTAGTCTTTTGTGCATTCATTTGAATATTTCAGTAGTAGGTTATAAGAATCTTTCTGAAATTAATCAATTACATTAAGATCACATTAATTGCAATGTCTTCTGAAGCTGAGGTATTATCGAGATAAAAGAAAAAAACGTTATATGCTTGAAGCATGACCTGTATATTTGATATTTGAATTTAAAGTGTATTGATGAATCACTTGGTATTCAAACTGATAATCACTTTTCAATTGGTGTTAAGATATCACAAAGAAATATAACTATTGCGTCATAATTATTCTTGTTTTGTTCACTGCTATATCTAACGTGTAAAAAAGTTTATTTAACTATATTAAAACATGAATTTATTAAATATTATTAAACATCTTCTCTACTTGACTCAAACTGAATATGGTTCCGAAAATTTTTCAACAACTGCTGATGAAATTTTGACTGCCGAACGATTATTCGAAGTTTTAAAATCTATAAATGTCAGCTACTTCACTGAACTGTATACATATGACACTCTCGAACTCGACGATGAATATGATGAACTAACTGATGAAGAACAGAGCAATGATGACATTAATGATTATAATGACAATGAGCATTCTGATATAAATGATCATTTTACATTAGAAGAAATGGAAAAAATAGTCGAATGGGTTGACCAACATCCAAATGCTGGACTTGCAACAATTTCACATAGATTTAAAAAGGTCAAATACATGTATTATATTACAAGATTCAGACAATACATCGAAAACAACGGCACAAGATTAGAAAAATTAAATCAAATTAAAGAATTTATGATTAATGAGTTCTATTTGAAAAGAACAGTTGAAAAAAAATCCGTTCATGATGCTGATCTAGAATTATATGCAATTCAAAAAGCAAGAAAATTAAATTGGAATACCTTCAGGGCAAGCAAATCATTTATCAACATTTTTAAAAAAGAAAACAGAATATCATCCAGAAGATACAACAAAATTATTACTCGAACTAACTCAAATAGAAAAAATTGCACTCTAAAAGGTTCGTAAACTTATTTGGTCTTTCAATCCACATGTCTTAGTGCAAGAAACGCATATTTTTAGATGCTCATAATTGGATTGAAAGTAAAAGAAGTTTCATTTCAAAGTATCCGTCTCATCAAATTTTAAATAGCGATCACTGTTCATTTCAACAAGAGTATATTCCGCCAACAACTCTTTCTTTTACTGGTGAAAGTACAACAGAAGTAGTTGCAAGAAAGAAATATAATGTCACACATTCTTATACAATTCAACCAGTAACATCAGCTAATGGCCTTTTATTAGACAAGTTTTTACTTGTACTTCAAGAAAAAGAAAATACTCTAGGTAAAAGAGTACAAAAAAATTTAATAATACCACCAAATGTTGTAGTAAGAGCTTCAAAATCAGGAAAAAGCAATGACGAAAACCATCACGCTTTTTGTGTACTCAAAAAGTGAGTGCACTCTAGAATCGGTCAGTGTGTCCGGCCGGCCGTTAACACGATAACTTTTGAACGGAGAGTCAGATCGCGATAAAATTTTCTACACAGTTCAGTCTTAACAATATCTCAGTCGAGTTCGAAGATGAAAAGGATTGGCCGAGCCCTTCCTGAGTTATTGCAAAAATACTCATTTTTCCCTATACCTTCCGTATGGAAAGATCGACCTATCCCCACTTTCGTAAAAGACTTTTCCTATCATAGTCAACTAAAACCCCAACTATTATATACCATTCGATAGAGAATTTCAAGAGCTACAAAATGGTATATGAAACATAAGGAAGCAAGAAAGCTTACTCACCTATTGCAAAGATAATTAAACAGAATTCGGTTCTTTTTTCGTCCATGCTTTATGTAATCTGCAAATAGAGCTCTATCTTCCGATCACAGAGATGATAGTTCGAGGTTTTCTGGGGTAGAGAACACGAATCTGTGCTCCATTCGTCTCGAAATCTCATTGGTTGAGCAGCAACCAATAGAAATTAAGTTATAGGAAAAACTACTTTGTTAGGGTAAATCAAGATGAAGAGTTCAAATCTGAGCTGTATTCACCCCGAAATCCTATTGGTTGAGTAGTAGCCAATAGAAATCAAGTGTTGATAGGCAAGGTTTACCAGGAGAATTTTTATGTCCACACATTCTAAGATGACTCATCTGACTCATTCATTTTTTGAAGTACACATAACTCTCGGATTTAAATCCGAAATTTGCACATTTTTTAATTATACAACTTTATTTCATTTTTTACATGCTAGTGCATAACTGTTTGGTTAGGTTATACTGAAGAAAACGACGATGAGTATTAAATTGAATATACATGATTTAGTGTGCGAGTGATTTTTATCGAACAATTCATATAACTACTCACTAGAGTATAAAAAAATATCCTTATACATGAGTTTTGTCAAGTAATTGTGCGAGTACTTATGCTTCCTTGATGAGTACGTTCACTAGGATAATGACGAAAAAAGATTTTGAATATGATGATAAGAAAATTTATGCTAGTGAGGCTATGAATGTTGATGAAGTAGAATCAATCGATTATGATAGTAATGATCATAAAGAAACTGATAATGAAAATGGTTGTGAAGAAAATAAGAATATTAACGAAAAATCTCTATCTTCATATTATGTTCGAATTTTTAAATATTCCAACTAACCATAATAAAAAACCCTCTAATTCTTCTTTTCTGATAACTATTCCTTCTAAATAATCGTCAATTGCAGTGCATTCAAGAAAAAATTTGATTTCATCTCTTTTATTCTGCAGACATTTAGTTGTATCTTTTTAGAATCAAAAGATGAATCAATTAATTATAGTCTTCTAATGAAGGATTCAAGTACGTTACTATTCTGCTTCAAAGCTTTATTTCAAAAAATTGGTGATTTTGAACAAGTTTTTTAATATCCCATTTGATCGAATAGCTGGGAGCGCAACATAGTACAATAATTCTTCGAGTGTACTAAATTTCAGGTCTATCAAGCGTTATTATTTGAAAAAATATAAATTGACTCGCATTTCGTAACTATTTTAACTTTAATAGACTTTTAACTGAAAGCACAATCAATTTAGTAAAAGAATTTTATTTACAAAATGGTGTTACTAGAATATCACAAATAAAAAGGATGCTATTTATTAATTGAGTATCAATGATAATTCGATGTATTGAAATTACGGAATGCAAACCATTCCAACAGCTGATTATTTGAACTCTTATTGTTAGCATCAGTAAATCATCATTTTATTTATTTCGATGTTCTTTAGGTCGAATTTTGAACACTGTTGCATGCATTTTTATGTACTTATCATAAAAATATGAATCTGTTTTTAAAGTTCAGCATAAAAAGTTCATTTAGGATTTTCTGCGGATTCCCACTCAGAATTCAAACAAATTTTTGAAAAGTAATTTACATCATCGTACTAGTGGCTTTGAAATAGTGAATGATAAACATTTAATTAATCGAATTGCATATAGCGCATTTCCATCGAAAATTGTTTTACTATTCCATGTGATACATATATAGTACGATAAATATGTCAGATGTTCTTTTAGACACTATTAACATTAATATGACTGAGAAAACTTCGAGATTCAATGAAAAACATAAAATGACAAGATGGATCATTATCATAGTTATCGTTTAGTTATTTCGCTCTTCAATTAAACTAATGTTCAATGGACAGTACTTCTATTATATTGAAATTTTACTACAGAACATAACAGAGTGTATCAAAAGTCTTTGATTAAAATCAAGTGCAACATCATATATTGTTACTCAACTAGACTTTGCAGAGAATTTAACGATCATGTAGTAATAAGAAATACAAGGATATCTTGGGAACCATTAACAAATAACTATATTTATTGTTCATTAAAAGAATGAATTGCTTAACAAGAATATTATGACCATAAGTGACTACATGTTTCATAATACAGCTTTCGTTCATATGGTACAAAGTGTAATCGTCGATTTTATAAGAAAGAATTTTCCGTTCCTGAGAAAAATAAATTACTTAAGATTATTTGTTGGAAAAATATTCGACTAACCTTGTATTATTATTTTTGCAATGGCAGTGCAACCAGACAGTTTAAGAACAGTTTAAATATTTTTAACCTAATCCACCATAAACACGACTTCAGATTTGAAGCATGTTGGATGTACACAGTCAATGGTCATGGTAAGGGCTGATGCGATGGACTCAATGCATCAATTAAACCTACCCTTACACGATCTATAATAACATTAAGCATCTTAGTTGTGTCGGCTGTAATAATACAGGAAATGTATCCAAAAGTTACCAATGAAAGATTAATACTTTTTACCTTAATTTAGGCATAGTTGAACAGGCTTACAATAATTTTCTAAAACCTAGTCGGAAAAAATTAAATAAAACAGGTAAGAATATAATTGAAAAAGTATTCGAAACAAGTTATTTTGTAGATCTTATCAAGCATATAGATTTATTTCATCAGTTCAATGTTCGTCCCGATTATACTCTAGTTTACCATTATACAGCAAGTCCAATGAATTATATGACGTTTATATAGGCGACCAAGGACACCTTTCAAACGATAAGTTCCACAGGTACACACATCGAATGATTTAGGTGTCAGCACTTTCGTGATTACGAGTTATAATGATACTTTTCATCTAGCTAAAATCAAGTTGGTCAACCGTTTAAATTAAGAACTACAATGAAAATATTTTGAGCCATCATTTCCAAGCATAACATTTTATGTATTTCTATCAAAGAATAGAAACGTTTTTAGTATAAATATTATCGACATTCTTCTTCTGTGTCATAATCCTAGAGTTGGCCTACAAGATGATGTTTATTTTGAAAACTGAACAGTTTCAAGAGCATTGAGAATATTTGTGAAGCACTCGAGGCTACTTCTAGTAATACCATTTTTTAATTTATATTTCAAAAAAGTTTATTAAATAGATCTTTACACATGTTATTGTACTACGTGCTCAAAGTCTATTCTAGCACACATATATATTTATACTAAAAAAATCATCGTACTATTTGATGCATTTCGAGATGTGTTCGAGAAAAAATATTAGATAGAAGCTAATCTTACATGATACGTGTCTCTGTGAACAGTACAGCAATGTTTAACGTTTCGATCGAACTAGATTTCAAAAAACTCTATAAAATATGAATACAAAAGTGTTTGCTTTAAATGCAAACTCTTTTTTTGTATACTCAAAAAGTGAGTACACTATAGAATCAGTCAGTGTGTCCGGCCGTTTACACGATAACTCTTCAAGGGTAGTCCAATTGTGATGAAATTTTGCATACAGAATTGTCTCATCAATATCTCGGTCGAATTCGAAGATGAGAATGATTCGTCATGAAGTTGCTGAGTTATCGCAAAAGTATTATAATTTCCTATGCTTTTCTATGTAAATCTTGACTATCTATCCCGATTTTCGTAAAAAAACTTTTTCTCCCATAATCAAACAAAACCTCAGCTATAATATATCATTTGATAGAGAATTTCACGAGCTACAAAATCGTATATAAAACATTAAGAAATAAGAAAGCTAACGTCACCTATTGCAAAGATACTTAAACGGAAATTGCTTCTGTGTTTTTACTTTTTGACGTACACATTACACTCCGATTTAAATCCGAGGTTTCCACATTTATTATTCATATTCTTACGAAAACATTAATTGTCATAGTATTTTTATTTTAGTATATCAGCTGGAGATATATTAATTCTCTGCTGAACTACAACGGTTTCCATGTCAATCAAAATATTAAAAATTGTTCTCTAAAGTTGAATAATAGATTTTCTTAATTAAATTCGACCATCTATCATCCATGTCGAACAAGCAAGCTCATCAAATGGCCATAAATTGTCGTATTTCGACGTATTACATGACACTGTATCACGATCATTTATGAATGAAAACTTGATCGCTTACTCGGTTTGTATACAATCTTTGTCTTCCTTCATATTTTGCTGTAAACGGCCGTATTTCTTCTTATACAATATTGCGAAAGACGAGCGTAATAAGTTGAAATACGGAATGTACATGGATTTGGTTTAGTTCATCTTAGATATACGTATAATAATTGAACAAAAACAACATTGACATTTATGATTAAATATAATTAATTGATTGAAAAATAAGTGAGCTACGTAAACAAATTCTATGAAACAACTAGTATTCTGCATATTTGAACATGTTTATCTTAATTTATTACTTATTTTAGTTTCATTTATTTTCATTCAAAAAAAATTTGTAATTAATTGATCTTATTCAAACTTGAATTAAAATTGTTAAAAATAACTTCATGTTTTTCTATTTCGATTAAATCTCGAAAAAGAATTCGTCATTTGTTTTATGATTTTAATATTAGACACAGAAATTCTTCCGTTTTTTTTTGTCATTGATTACATGATACATTTCGTAACTATGAAAAAAAATGTTTTTAGATGAGGTTTTATTTGCATGATTAAATAAGATGATTATCAAAGAAATAAACAAATTTAATTGAATGGTTGAAATTCATTTGTCGATAATCTAAATCAAATTGATATTTAATGAAAAATCAATATTTTCATCTTTAATAACAATCAATTGAGATTTTATATTATTGTTCGCAATAGAGTAATGTCATCTATTTATATTTGATCTCTCTTCTTACAATTATAAAAGAAATATTGAATGGTGACAAATAAACCAATTGTGTCTCTTTTTCTATTCTGTCTTTCTTATATGGATTATATGGATAGGAGGAACGAAAAAAAAAAAAAAAAAAAAAACAAAAGATTGTACACAATAATAAAAAATGTATATATATGTATGATGAAAAATTTGTTTTTCAATAAAAAATGTCATCATGTCCAAAAGAATTAGAACGAAATGGTCCAACATTTGGAATGTCATTTACAGCTGAACAAGGTGAAAAGCTTTTTCAACGTTATTTAAATAAAAAAGTCAGCTGGTTTGAATCTGGTGAAGGTGGTTTAAATAATCTTATTTTCTTTGTTGAATGTGAAAATGATCCAGATAAATATGTTCTCAAAATTGGTGGTCGATCTTGTCCAAAAATAAAAACTGAATCCGAAGTTGCTGCTATTAATATAGTTCATAAATATACACAAATTCCTCTTCCAAAAGTTGTTGCTTATTCATCAGATAATAAGAATGAATTTGAAGTTGAATGGATTGTAATGACACGTTCTAATGGGAAACCATTAAGAAGTTCATCAAAAACAAATGATATTTGGCCAAATTTATCAATTGACCAACAAAAATCAATAATAAATGAACTTGTTGAATATGTAGCTCAATTTCATAATAGTATTCCACGTTCAAATCAAATTGGAAATTATAAAATAAACGGTGAAATAGGTTCTGATATAAGTAAAATGGGTCCATGGAATAATTATAAAGATTTTTATAATGATCGTTTGAAATGTCAAATATCAACATTAAATGATGAATCAATATTTGAACCAATTCGTGATGATCTTATGAAATCAATAAAAGAATTTCAAAAATTCGATCTTCCATCATTTGATGATATTCCAAATGTGTTTACACATAATGATCTTGGTGTTCAAAATTTAATTGTATCTGATGATAATAAAATAAAAGGTATTATTGATTGGGAATGGTCTGGTTCATATCCAATATCTGAAGAATATTTTCGTTCATATAAACCAATTATTTATAGTGATCAATTAAAAAGTTATCTTTATGATCAACTTGAAGAACATAATATTCCAACTCCACGAACAATTCATAATTTTTCACTTTTACAAAAAATGTCCGATTTTCTTATATCAATTGTTCCCTGGTATCTTACTGATTTAGCTAATCCTGAACATCCAATTGTTGAAAAAGAATTATGTAAATGTCGAGATAAAGTTAAAACACTTGTTCAACAGATTAAAGAAGAATTAAAATAAATTTTTTTCTTTTTTTTCTTTTTTGTATTTCTATTTGTAACTTTATGAGTAATTCAGCGAGAGAATATTTTTTTTTTTTGTTTTTTGTTTTTTTTTAGTTAACAGATTCTGTAAAGACGAAATTAATTTTGATTTTGTCTTTCATCTTTCATTTTCTATATTATAAATGTGTCTCGTGTTTAATGACAGAACAACAAAAGTAAATAGAGAGAAAGGTCGATCAGTGTAATATTATCATGGAAGAATAAAAACAAGAGATTACACAGTACTATTACAAGATATTTTTGTTAATGTTCTTTACTAGAACATTTTGAAACAATTCTCTAGTATATTAACAATTTCCCTATTATTGTTATTTAATGTCTGAAAAAAAGAAAGGAAAATGTTCCAAACCAAAATAATTATTTAATTATAGAAAAATGGTATTTCTCAATTAATCTCATATTTATTGTCGTTTTTAGTTATCATTTGTCGAATTGAAATATTTTATTTATCTTAATTATCAACCTTCGAATAATAACATTAAATACAAATAGATTCTTCAAGTTTTTCCTAGTTAAATTTTAATCGAAGAAAAAAAGTGAAAATTTCTCTGATAAATATTTCGAAGAAATAATAAGAAAATAATATATATTTAGTAATTAATTTAAATCATTCGATTAATAATAAATCAAATGTTTTGAATTGTTTAACCCTTTCAGGACCGTGGTACAAGGGTTGTACCACCTATTTACCCGACAGGGAATATATTTCATTTGCACTCCAGTGTTAAAACTTCTTATACACCAAGGTCATGGAGTGCTCCAACTGTCATGTTATACATATCTTTTCTTGATGCTGTATATATTCTCTCAGACATTCGCTTTTCTTTCTGCGATTGTACAATGATGTCATAGTATTCCCCTCTTCCTCTGACATGTTGTTTTACGAGAATGTTCGCTACGATTCTCACTCTCTGCTGCTCATGTATATATAATATATATATAGGTGTTCTTGAAAAGAAGGGTGTGGATTACTTGATAGTCTTACTGGAAAGTGACACTCACATCGGCACCGACACTCTCACATATCTGCTACAACCAATTAGTTCAGAATGAGTTATCATACTTGAACTATTTGGTTTCCGTGGTTAAGTCTCTGTGTTCTGGTGCTGAACGAATAAATCTTGGAAGATCTCCTTCAGATTTGAAGCGTAAATTAGCATCACCAAAATCTGCTGATCAGTTAGATGGTGGAATGCATTTGCCGATCAAAGGAACACGGAAGAGATGTGCTTACTGTAGCACAAAAGAAGTGCAAGTTCGATCAAACATCGAATGCTCTTACTTGCAAACTGGCTTTTTGCGTAATAGACGAGAAAAATTCTTTTTTTGAATACTATTAACTTTTCATGGAAAGATTTTGAGTCAAATTCTATAAACTGATGAAAAGAAGCAATTTTCGATAGAAAAAAAAAGTCGGTCCTGAAAGGGTTAATAGATATAAAAAACATAAATATTTATTTTATTATAAATAATCAATAATACTATTAAATTGGACAATATTATATATTTTCATTTATTATTATTTAAACAATTCAATCATAGATACAGAAAGTTCTATTTCTCATAAGTCAATTATTCTCATTGTCATTCTCTGTATCTTTTACAGATCTTAATCTGACAAGCTCGAATTTGACCAAAAATCGTTTAACCATTGTCTCGCCGATCATTTTCGTAAAATGCTCCTATCGTCAATCATATAATAGAAAAAGCTTGTTAGTACAATATATTTGCGAAGAAAATGTTGACATTCTATGTTTTATTTATCCGAACTATACTAATACAAAAAACAACAATAAAATGAAAAGTCTCTCAGTGATTATAGTTAGTTTTTCGAGATGATCAATTATTAGACAAACGATTTATCTTATTTAGTTTTCGAATTCGAAGAGAAATTTTTTTTTTTGTACATTTTTATTTTTATTATTTAATGCTTTGAATTAACTGTCAAAGAAGTCTGTTGAACATATCCATTATATATAGAACATAAGGTTTAAAATGTCCTATAACATACTTCAATAAAATAAGATAGAATTAAATGGATTAAATGAGTACTATAGGAAATCAATCTATAGCTATCGATCATATTATTTGTTTTGAAAACAAATATTTCTTTTCGCAACAATAAAAAAGGTATACAATATCGAATATTCATTAATCCATTCCACTCATTCATCTTCTACAGTTCGTTTTCCTGTTAGTGACGAACTCTGAGAAAGAACTTACTCACTATTATCTTCAAAAAACTACGTCGGTTCTACAAAAGAGATCATTTTTAATCGATCTTATTTCAATAAATATTCCCATAACTATTTATTCTACTGGATAAGATAAAATAAAGTTAATTTTAATATAATTAAACAGATTTATAAAACAAAATCGAAAAAATCTACAATGACCTCAGAATGAATAACTATCATTGATTTGTTTGTTTGTTTTTTTGGTTACTAAATTAATAGTTAATGTATTGTTTACTTTCGATGGATTCAATTGGATAGATTTTAAGTTGATCATCACACTACCAACACTAAAATGGTATTCGAGGTTAACTAGAGTTTATGGATTTGAATAAAGTTATCGAGCAATATTTTATAAGACAATATAGATAATTTTTAAGGATATGAGACGATTTGTCAAATATGATAATCTCATTCTTGTTTCGCTTTGTTACGAGACGAAGGTGAGTCGATTCGTCGATCTTTGATTTATACATAAGTAACAAATGCAAAGTGCACATTCATAGAGGTAAATATAATCTCTATCTCTATAATGAATGATAGAGCTCAGCAAGAATATGAACTAAATTTTTAAATGATTGAAATTTAATAAGTTTGTCACAAGATAAAAAAAAAATTATTATTAAATAACAAATAAAAATTTGAATGATATATGAATAATAAATTAGCAAAAATATTGGAAGTTTAACTGTTTTATCCATCATTGATGAAAGTCATGCAAATTTCGATGTTTTTTTTAAATTAATTAAAATTTTTTCGAAATTTGAGGATATAATCAATGATCGACGAAAAGTGAGCTCATCGTTACTACATTTATCTTTATTCAATATTTTCTATAATTAAAACTAAACGATTGATAGAAAACGTTTATTTACTATTTAACAAATAACTTATACAGAGGAATTTTCGCTTCCTTTTTTTTCATATGATCATTAATTTAATTTATTATTTCAATCTCATACTGTTTATATCAGTCGAACATTCCCTATCAATTCTACATTATTTTATGCCAATTATATTATATTATAGATGATATTATTATTCATATATGTAATTAATAGTTATCATATTATTTTTGACAATTATTTATCGTGCTTTTTTTTCAACTCTCTTTCATAATAATATGATGAATTTTTTAAAATTATTATAAATATATAAATATATACATCATCATCATCATCATCATCAGTCTGTATCGATCCACTGCAGGATGAAGGCCTCTTCAGCTTTCTTCCAATCGTTTCGACAGATCGCTAGTTGTTGCCATTTGATACCTTTGTATTTGATTATGTCGTCAATCCATCGTTTCTTAGGACGTTTCCTAGGTCTTTTACGGTCTCTAGGTATCCAATTTAAGATTTCTGTTGTCCAGCGTTGATCTGATCTGCTGGCGATGTGTCCTGCCCACTGCCATTTACGTGAGGCGACTCGTCTCATAACATCGCATATTTTAGTTTGTTGTCGGACCCATGTGTTTTTCTTCTTGTCACGACGGGATATATTGAGTATTTGTCTTTCCATGCTTCTTTGCGTTACTTTCAGTTTCTGGATTGCTTTTGTATTTAGTGTCCATGTTTCACATCCGTACGTTAGTACTAGTAATACGCATTGGTCGAAAATTTTTCTTTTTAGACAGATCGGCATATTACTTTTGAATATGGCGTTCATTTTTCCGAATGCTTTCCAACTTAGCTTCGTTCGATTTAGAATTTCTGTCATGATATCGTCGTTCATTGTAACTACTCGACCAAGGTATATGTATTTGTTGACTTGTTCCAATTGTTGGCCGTCTATTTTTATTGGTTGCGGTATTGAGAAATTGTTGAACATAACTTGTGTTTTGCTGAGGTTCATCTTTAGACCTGATAGTTTGCTGCTTTCGTTTAGTTCTTGTATTTGAGTTTGGAGGTTCTCCGCACTGTCGAAGAATATGACAATATCGTCGGCAAATCGTAAGTGGCTGAGATATTTCCCATTTACTTTTATCCCTGTTTCTGACCAGTCGAGTCTCTTGAATATTTCTTCTAGTCCGGCTGAGAATAGTTTAGGTGAGATGGTATCGCCTTGTCTCACGCCTTTTTTTACGTCGATTGTAACAGTATTATCATTTATATGTAAAGTGGCTGTTGCATTCGTGTAGATTTCTTCTAGCAGACTGATATATGGTTCTTCAATACCTTGTCTTCGTAGTGCTTCGAATATCGTTGTCAACTTGATTGAATCGAAAGCTTTTTCAAAATCTATAAAGGCAAGACATAATGGTATTTCATACTCACCACATCGTTCAATAACTTGTTGTACGACTTGTATGTTGTCTACAGTACTGTATCCATTTCTGAATCCCGCTTGTTCTGTTGGTTGAGCATAATCGAGCGTTGTTTCAAGTCTTTTGGTGATGATTTTTGTAAGTAATTTGTAGATGATCGAGAGTAAACTAATTGGTCTATAGTTTTTCAAATCTTCTTGGTCTCCTTTCTTGTGAAGGATAATGACCTTAGCATTTTTCCATGATGTCGGTATACTTCTTTGCTTTAGGCAACGAGTGAATAAATCAGCTAGTGTTCTATAGGTTTCGTCGCCGCATGATTTGAGAAGTTCTCCTGTTATTCCATCTGGTCCAGCTGCTTTTCCATTTTGGAGGCTTCGTATTGCTTGTTGTACTTCAGCTGGAAGCACGTCAGGGACGTCGTTTTTTTCTGTAGAGTCAGTTGTGGTTTGTTCG